TTCCCCCCCCCCCCCCGTGGGGAAAATGCAACATGTTTTGAAGAAATATATTTTTCAGTGGACATTTTTCTGGGAAGGCCTTTTGCGTGAGGAGAAGAAACAAGACCCCTTACTGCTGCAGAATGGTTGATAGCCTGGTGTTTTTGGTGTGTCTCTGGAATGTGAGTTCTGTTGTTGTTGGAGAAGGGCTGGAACCCTGAGTTTCTGATACTCTGTGTGAAAATCGTAATGATGAGGCTACTATCCATCTGGAAAGTGATGATGCTGCCTATTTTTTCTCCTCCTCTTTCCTTTGCTATGACCTCCTTTCCCCAAAAGAAAATTAAAATAATTTAGACATGCCTCTTTTAAATCTAATTAAATCTAATTAAAAAAATTCAAAATCTCTTTTTATCTCTCTGAGAAATAGATATTCTTTTGTCTTAACAGTAATTTATAGATCCATTGCTTATGTTGTCTAGTAAAGAAAAAGCTATAATAATGATATAGAGTGTGCCCTTAGCAGTGAAGTGAAACAGCTGTACATATATGGAGAGAAAGGCACTGTAGCTGTGGCTGAAGAACTGTTTGGAGCAATGGAAAATTCTTGCATTTATTCCACTGAGACTTGTGAATATGCATCTTCCTGTCTTTGCACTTGTATATGTACTTAATATTTTTCTTTATGCATAGTGAAAACTAGAACTAATGTTGAAAATGTGAGGGCTGCTTTAAAAAATACAAAACCAACCAAAAAAAAAACCAAGTGTGAGGAAAAACTCCTGGTCATAAAGGCAGTGTGACTCTATGGAAGAATAAAAAACAATCAAGCCGATATACCTGAATCTCTCCCAGTCATATAAAACTTTAGCTTAATTTTATTGTTGACTATTACAGCATCTCTTCTGTAGTACAAATTCTAACTGAAATCAGTAAAGTGTCTTTCCAAAAGTTCAGCATGCATGTTAAGATATTAGAGATAATTTTTTTTATGTACTTGAACACAGGTATGTCTAATTTTCTTTAAAGCTTCTATCAGTGGGGAAAGAAAAGTTATGGGTGGATCATGCTCCCATAGGATGCACCTCATGTTTAGCACTTAATATTTTAATGTTTATCACTTAAATGGGGTTTTGAGTGTACTTCTGACTCACTACTTTACAAAAAGAAACAGACGTTGCCATCCATCTCCAGATGGGTTTCCACCTTGTTTAAAGATTGGTGCTTTTCTCCTTTCTACTTTAAAAAAGATAATTTTTAATTAGATGCTGCTTTCCAGATAAGCTGCTCTTCATTTTTAGTTCAAGGGAAGAAGACGAGGTAGCATTGGGGTGTATTTGATCTCTGAAATATTTCAGTCTGTCTTAAAAAACAGTGCTGTAACTTTCTCTTGAAAGGCTGCTGTGATATTCAGATGTTTGTTGGCTGGACTTGAAAGTATGCTTTGGATACTGTTTAGAAAAATGTAGTGCCCTGTAAGAGCAATACACAATACAAGGAAGTAATGCTCAAGACCTATTGTGTGTGGATTGCTGCAAACTGCTTTTTGTCTTAATGCTTTCAGGTTGCTGACCTGGAGAAAAGGTTGTTTCTACATTTTATTCCAGTTATCCATGTGAAATGATTGATTTGAGTTCTTTTTTGTTTTTGCTTTGACCTGTTCTAACAGTTTTTTAGTGCTGCCTGTTTAACACGTGTGCAGTGAACAGATGCACCACCGAGTTCCTGCAGATGTTGTGAGCTAGTAGATTTTTATAACTACCTCTAAGATGTTCAGTCATGGAAGCCTTGATTTAGGAGAAAGAAATCATACTTAGTCATGGATGTTTTCAAATATCCTGACCTAGACCTAGAAAAAGCCAGTATGGTATTTTCTGGCACTCTGTACTGAGCTGTCTGGGATGGTTTTCTTCTGTGGCTCCTAAACACATCAGATAAAGTTTGGAGCCACGCAGTAATTGTATGTTCCAAGTTCCTTTTCATATCTACAGCAATCCTGTTAATGTTACCTCTTTTAAAGCTCTTTTTTAGTAAATATCATGAGATAAAAGGCTATGCACTCTGGATTTCTGCTCTGTAAAAGTCCATTGAATAAACACAGTATTACCAGCTGGCTGATTTATGCCTTTAGCTTTACTGAGGGTTTTAGTGGGCTATTAACAACTACAGGTATGGCTTTTTTGACTTCCTGATTTGAGGGAGGAATTTTGCTTATCAGATCACCTCTGTTATCCTGATTCCTTCATGTATGAACTTGCCCTGAGAGCTATCTCTGTTAGGTTTTTTTTGTGTGTGTGTTTTTGGTTTGGTTTTTTTTTAATTAGGAGTTCAAAATACCTATTAATCTGAAAATAGTTTTAGAAAGTGTATTCTGCTGTTGAAATAGTGGCCATGACTACTGTTTTGTACCTGTACTTCGGTATAAGAATTTCATGTTTAAAATTCATAATTTTGTTTTCAAGATAAAGTTCGGGAAGACAAACCTTAAACAGATGTGTATCACCGTTCTTATCTGGCAGCTAAATCAGACGTTAGGGCTGTATCATAGTGTGTGTGTGTCTGGAGGGGAGAGTTAAATTGTAGTAGCAGTCTTTCACACAGGTGTGCTATGCAGTTGTTATCTTACTTTATATAGGTTTCAGCTAGGTTTGATGTTTTCCTTGCTCTGGAAAAGTTAAGTGTTTTCTGTGGTGTGTCCTAGATCTCTTTCTCGTTTCTCCCATCTTTACCACAAAATCACTGTATCATAAGTTTATATGCAGGACTTTTTTTTTTTTTTTTTTTTTTTTTTTTTTAATGCTGCCAGGTTTGTAAAGTCAGAAATGTAATCAATTCTCTACACAGCATCTTTTAGAGACTGAGATCGAATAGAAAATAAATAACAAAATCGGCACTGCTGGTCAAGAGTTGTAATGAGGTGTTTTCCAGGCAAAAGAATAGTAACAGTGAAGCCAGGACTTGTTAGCCCTATTCTCTGTGCTGGTGCACAGCATCATCTTTTTGTCCCTTCCTTATGCCCCACCAAAAAAATGTGGCTGCAGGCCCCTCCAGTTTTGGGGAATTAGAAATATATAAGATTTAATCTTCACTCCTTTAAAGTAATTTTCGAGCTCGTTTCCTTGCTAAGATAGAATGGAAACCATAAGCTAATGGTAAATGTCAGCTAACCGCTAGACTTGAAAGAACCAGCAGCTGGCTTCTGCTTATGAAGCAGAGAAACTGTGTGGGAGGAGATATAAGGAACCTCCTCAAATACCCACACTAACAGAGGGGTGGGGGGGAGGCCATACTGAGTATGGGATTTAACCTAAAGTTAATTTCTGATAAGAAATGGGGCACTTAATTTGCCTGTATAATTTTATCTGTGTAAAAGATTTATGGTATGAATCTCATAAACATTTTAAAAATGTATTTAATAAATAATTGTTTGCAAAGAGATTGAGTAACCCTCAAATCAGATGCAGTGTTTCAATGCAGCAATATTATTAACACCACCATTAGAGTAGTGCTGAAATGGCAGCACTTAAAAAATGCCATCTACCACAAATCTGAAATGATGGGTTTGTTTTGAGTACAAATAAACATAGGGGACATAGATTGGGTGATATTCATTTATGATGTATAAACTGAGATCAAAAATAGTCCACAGGTCTATGCTAATATAAATTGAGATGAATTCTAGGTTGGCAACACTGTTTGACCTAAAAGCTGCCTAATGTTTCTTCTAATAGGAAGTCCATACCTGCTGCTGAGCAAAGACAAAGAATTGTTTTCAGGTATTGTTAAGTAACTTATTTTTGCAATAGTTCATAGATCCTTTCTCACTTTCTGATATGGAAAATAATATACAGCCTCTTTAGTTCATGACACAATTATTTTTAATTTCTTTTAAAAATGTTATGGGTAAACAGACTAGAAACTCAAGAAAGGTCTTTTCTGAAAATTGTCAATGACAAGACACTTAACCAGTGTATCTGAAAAACGTGCTGGCAGTCTGGTTTTGAATTGGAGACCTTTCTGTAGCTAGATGCTGATTTTACTGGGCAGATGAAACTGCTCTCAAGGAATGGTAAATATTGTTCACTATGGGAAGATTGTTTTTACATGTTTGACGAACAACTCTCATATGCAAAAAAAAAAAAAAAAGAAAAAAAGTGTAGAACTGCAAATCTGTTATTTCACCTGCTCTTCTTTTAGAAGTGTCCTTTCTTGTTTGCTGATGACTCCCACTATGGAGCACTTGTCCACAGTCCCAGGAATTACTATTAACTCCCCAAGTTGGGGGTGGGAAATTAGAAGTGGTGAGCAGGGGCTGGAAGGGTACCAGCTGGAGGATATTTGTGACAGATAAGAATAACAGGAAGAGAGAGAGAGAGAGAGAAAGAAATAAATGGTCAGCACTTTTGGCTTTTTAAAAGTGGGGTGCAGATGACTTGCTGTTATGTTTTTGCAATGTCTTGTTTCCAGACTGCTGGCTTAGTCAGCCACATCTTTAATTTGCCCAGTCTATAACAGTTGCTTCTGCTGCTACCACAGAAAGTGAAATTATAGTTTCCAAGCTTTCATTTTGTCCTTCTTACCTATAATCCTCAAATTCCAGTCTGTCTGACCACTCAACTAGGCTTTTTTAATTAGCAGATCTTTTGGGGGGGGGCCTTAAATATGTTTTATGTATACAGAAACACTAAACAGCCTTGGAAAGTCGGTGAGATGAATAACATCTTGCTGGGAATATAAAATGGCACATAGTGCCTAGAATAATGATTTCCATGACTGAAATTTTCATGTGCTTTATTAGAAGGCATCCTTTACCTGGGGTCCTGTTCTTACGAAAAGAAAAAATAAGTTTAGCCATTTTAACCATTTAAAAACTCGTCTGTTTAATTCATTCTCTACAATGTTTTGTTGATTCCTCCAAAGAAGGCTAATGGGCTTGCCACAAAATACACAAAAAGTCTGAGATGGAAACTAGCATTCAAATATTTCTGTGAAATCTGTGGTTCAGATATACTTACTTCATTTTCCCAAATGAGGCAGGTGGAGTTCCATAATGATCTTTCTGCTGTACCTCAGGCCACTGTGCTGCCTGATTGTTTGGCCGAGGTGGCACATTGTTAATGAAGCGCTAATACACAACATAATTTGGGAAGGTACACTCTTGTGTAGAAGGTAATAGCTCTCACTGCTGTAAATGTCTTAATGTAATCGAAGAAAACAGCTTGGTTTAATCATTTGCTAATTGTGTGGCACAACCAACTAATCTCTGGGATGTACCTTGGAGACCTGGTAACATGTTTCATCGACTTCTGGGGAACTGATACAGGTGATGTTGGTCAAATTGCCCTCAGTTCACTTCATTTGCTGGTCTGTAGCTCTGTGATGGTTTGTCTAGAAGACAAAGAAATAGAGGATTTTGTGTGATAGTTTAGGATATGCTCAATAGATCAGCCAATAATTGGTCTTGACATTACCCAAGGAAAAATCACTAGTGTCAATATAAAGGCCTGAGTGTTTTTGTACTATTTGTACTAATTCTTTTCTTTGGATTTTCAGGTAAAATATGTTGTGCTTCAAGTTAGCTCTGAGTGAAATTAAATTATTCAGAATATTAAACTGAGACACAATACTGTGAATAAGCCTTATATTTTCAATAATTTAAACATTGTATATACATAGGTCTGCGGCATTTTGTTTCATGCTGTTCTGGTTTGCTGTTCTTGTGAGATTATTCAGACATACAATGATAAAAATTTGCCAGAAAATGAGCTTTATGTTTATTTTTCAGTGCTGCAAATAAGTGTTGATAAGATCCTTCTCTGAAAACTCAAATATTAAACCTGCGTGCATTGGTCTTTTTCCATAGTGTAGTTTTGAATCCATTCCTGTTTTAAAGAAAAATAATCCCACTGAAATACTCCAATACAGGTCTAGGTAAGAGCTTGATCTTTATTGGTGTACCGTGCACCAATCCTAGTGAAATCTACAAAAATCCTGCTGTTTTTCAATAGCTCTGAAACTTGTTCCAACATTAGCCTGCAATGTTCAAAGGCACCTGTGGAACAACACAAATGACTATCCCCTGTCCCTGAAGTACAGTCAGTTAGGTGACAGGATTCCCAAAGCCTTCTAAAGTCTTGGCATTCAGGACTGAAAATGCCAAGGTCCAAGTAACAGATATTTTTGTTGCTTGTTAAAGCCACTTTATTAAATTTGACTCAATTAAGTCTAGTATCAAATAAGTGTATATTATTAAATCTAAGAAGAAATAATTTTCTGTATTTTTCTGTACTTTTTTAATGGTCTAATGATTCCTTTTTGAAGAGCTTGCGGTCTGCAATATACTGTAATTATACACCATATGCTTAAAAAGACTGGTCTGTACTATTAACCTTAGTGCAATTTCATGGAAGACATTTTGAGAATTACAGATCCATCTTGTTGAGCTACACATTCTCCAGTATGATTAATGGAGGAACATGCAAGTTTGAATTCTTCAAATAGCTTTGAAAAAAAATCTCTTGTTATTTGTCTATTTTACAGGATGTGAAAAAACCCTGTCACCCCTCAGGGAATTAAAGCACATTTCTTTAATTATATAATGACTATTAATGCTAATAAATTTTATGCTAAAGGCCTATGCTGTACCACTGCCAACTAAAACACGTCTTGTTCCTTTTCAAACCCTGTGCCACATATTGCCTGGACATGCGGTCATTAAAATGAAGTTGGTTGCAACGACAGACATTAGACAAAGATGCAAGATTTCATTTTGACTTTCAACAGCTTTTAAAACCTGAAATAATTTTAGGTTTTGATCTTCAAGTAATCTTTAAAAGCATTCAAATAGGAATAAGGTTAGCTGAGCTGAGTTAGGTAACAGGCCACTCTATATGTGAAATCAAGTGATAATATTTTTCAACTGCTACAGTGTTGCTATAATCTGATATGACTTGACTTTTGAGAGAAAAGACTCCTTTGTAGTGGTAGCCTGAAGAATGAGTTTACCAGATGTATAAGAGAAAGCATGTTTATAACTCTTTATTCATAAATCTTGTCTCTTAGTTCATACTCTGCTGTGTGTATCTCACCTAGTCAATAACTGCAGCCCTTCTTTTTTCTTTTTTTTTTTTTTAAATATAGGTCTGCTGTCAGTAGTCCTTCCAGAGTTTGACACCAGAACTAAATCTCCATGTCTTGCACTATTTCTGCAGATCAGGCAATCAAATCACTCTTGATCTATGTGTTAACGTGCAGCTGTTCCTCTACTTTCTATGGGTCAAGTACAGGAGGAGGTTGGGATCCACTTTATGAGAAAAAACACTATCAGTAAGAGGATCAAACTGGTAGATGTAGAGTTTTTTCACATCTCTGTAGTGAGTCATCATTTAAGATCCCTTTGTGTTAATGAAAAGAAAATGTGATGGTGGTTTTGTCTGGTTAAGAATGGAGACCCAATGGGAATAGCTGTGCACAAGAAGCATGGCATTTCATCAGAGCAGATGAGAAGATTTTGTGGCAGCAGGAACATGAGATGAGGAGGGGATGAGTGATGGTTGGATAGTAAAATGCATTAATACACCCCCCCCCCC